ATTGCACTCATTTCTGGCAGCGCAGCTGAGACCCATCCAGTGAACATGCAACATCCCGAAAGGAAGTCTCTAACAGGACAGTTGAAGAATACTGCATTGATTTTCTCCTACCCCATTCCGTATTCAGAAAAAGATCCAAAGTTTCTGTAACTTTCTGTAATAGAACAGGTGCTGTGGAGTCTTACTATGGATTGCACCTTCTCTGTAGGTGAGCCACTTATTATGGTTTGCAACAATTCCAATTTAAACTTCCCAGCCTCTTTCTACACCCTTTACTGTGAGTGTGTGCTTGGGCTTATGTGAATTGGACCCAAGTATCTGTCAAATGTTACACTAGAGTCATTTCGAAATATGGTCGCAGATTGTAGCATATAGGATGACACATATCCATGCCTCATCTTAAATCAGAGAAACACACCCAGTGCCCTAAAGAACAAATTTGTTCATATGGAATTAAACAAGTGTAAGTCTGGTATTCCCAGGATATGAGTATAGAGTAGGGGTGAATCCCACACTAATAACTCTTTACGCCATTGGCTGCCTGTAGTCAAATTTGTCAAGGGGACAAGAACTCAAGGCTTTTAAAACTCCCTGTGAAAACAGATATTTCACTAGCACCTGCCGTTTCAATCTCATTGAAAATCAAGCAGCTTTAATTTTGTGTCCACCAAACTTTGTAATGGACTTTAAAAAACCCTATATAATAAACCTAACACGATCTTTTTATTTTACAAAACAATGTAACTGGAATCATTTATATGTAGAAACTAAATTATTCCTATATTGTTACACAAGCTGCACAACTCCAGCAGTGGGAGACTCTTCCAACAATTATGTTTTGTGAAACATTCCGCAAGCATAGCCTTTTCATCCTTTTTCATCCAGAAGAATTTGCATGTTGGTTCTACTGTAATTGCAATCTAAGACAACTGTTCATTTCTACAGAAGTTCCACTCTCATATTAAAGTCTATGAATAATGGCTTTTTGCTGTTATTTAATTAAAACCATTTATACAATTAAGTTATCCAGTCATTTATGATCTCCAGGCTTTCTTAATACATACTTAACTCCTACTGATATCTGAAAATGATAATGTTATCTTTATATTGAAGATGATAACGCTATCAGTGTTAGCTGCATTCACAGAGCACAGGGTAAACAGACCATCTAGGTTACATTTTATGAAACTGAGTCCTCAGACTGTGAACCCAGCTGACCACAGTTGTTAACTCTGCTTATTCAGAGGAAAGCTCCAGACTAGCTCCTAGAGAACACGTCACTTATTCCACACATAGCAATCTTGCAATCCGGATAGATCAGTAAATTAGCGGTTATATTCTGATCGAATATCTCCGTCAATGTGTGCTTTCGTTTTGTGTGCAACATAGATATTCTCAGCAGTGTTTATGTTTGTACCATTTGATTTATACATTTCCCAGAAGAGCAGAAAATCTCAAAAGACGATGACTTTTCAGAACAATAAATGCAGGTATTCTCATGAACGCAAAATTTTGAATGTTTCCCCTTAAAAGTTACAAGAAAGGGCAAGCTTTTTTGCCCACACTTTCCCTAGGATATATCTAATTAACAAAAATTTACTTGTCTACTTTTCTTCCCAGTCTTTCTTTATGCAAAGCAGACTATCATCCCTGAAGTAGGCTAACATAACAGACTTCAGCATTTCAGAAGCAATTTGAATTTGCTGAAATAGCTACAGACACACAGTTTTATGAAAATGAATGTAATGACTCTGGAATCTGAACTCCACTTTTTAGATAGACAATTTTGTCCTAGAACAGGCTGCATGTTTATTCTTAATTTTCCTGCCAGGGTGCCCCACAGTCAAGTCCTCTAAAAGACACCTCTTACAGACGAAAAAAAAAAAAAAAAAAAAAAAAAAAACACTTTTTTAACCCAATTTAATCCCAGTCTATTTTTACAGTCCATTTTTAAACTCTGTTAGTAGCAGTGGCACTAACAGTTTTTGCTGTGTTTATTCATTCAGTGGGGACATTACTGAACTCTAACTGTGATTCAGAGGTCATTAAAGATCACAATATTAAAAAGTGACAAGATTTAGGTAGATACTCAAAGTTTTTTTAAAATGTGCACTTAATACCAGGCCATAGAATAAATAATTTAGGTCAACCCATCCAAATAAATTTTTGTCAGAAACTCATGATCTTAAATGTCAGTTATCTGCATATATATCTTTATGTTCAGAAGTGATAATTTTCACTTTTGAAAATTATTCCTCAATACCTGTAACTTTCCAGTCCTACATGCATGAGCATATATATATATATATATGTGTGAAGTTAATCACTGATTTTACATGAATTTTGACATGAAAGGCATGTTCTGTAAATCTGAAGAAAAAGAGTAGAACAGGTTACTCCATGATCAGCAGGACTAATGATGTCTGGTTTCATATGGGTTTGAGCCCCATGTCCTTGCAGCACTGCCCTGGCCACAGTGATTCCAGCCATCCATCCTGCCACGGTTCCCTCTGCCCTCCATCCCAGCAGACGTTGCACTAGGAACATGCCCCTCAGGCACGAGCACCTTGGACAAAGTACCGAGCTTACCCTGCAGCTCCGTCCTCAAAGGCCACCTTAATCCCAGCTGTGTCTCCCACAATTGCAAATTTTCATAAAACTTGTAAGAAGGGACTTTTGTGCTCTCTCCTGTCAAATATTTTGGTCTCCATCAGTTTTTTTGAAACTGAATGGTGGGCTCAAAGTGGGCTGGGCAGATAGAAGGACAGGAGTAAACACTTGTTTAAATCTTGTTTCCTTAGGAAAATAGGCTAGAAATACTGGGGCTTGGGAGGAACTGCTTGTAGGAAACTAGAGGTGGGACACTAAATAAGGCATCTAGTTATACTGAAGGACATAAGAAAATGGTTTATTTGGGGTGCACAGTAATATTTTGTTGCTCTGGCTATCATAAAATGACAAACTTTCCATTATCAAAACCAACTTAATATGTTACATATTAGCATGCCTTCAGCTTTGGAAACAAGGATTTTTAGTGCAATGAGACTAAATAGAATAAATAATGTATTAGGAGCTCAAGAGTAAAAATTCATACCATAAATATGTCTGCATATATGTATTTATATGCTATTACCAAAGAGTCCAAACTCTTAAAAACAACTAAAATAGTTAAACATCTCTTTCATCCTCAGCTTTTGAAAGGTGCAGCTTCATTTTCAAGTGTGTGTGTGTACATATATATTTTCTTGCATATGTGTTTAGTGATGTTGGGAAAAGGCAACTCAAAGGAGTGGGATTTTTCTTTTTTTTCTGATTATCACCAGCCTTGTTACGTATGTTGTGATGGCAAATTCGTATTTTTAGGTCCTATGTCTGCCCAAGTGCTGTCTCCTGCTCTGGAACTCCTTCATTTGCCAAGGATTTTACAGCTGTAGCAGAATTTAGCTGTCGTGGGCTATCATGACCCTATTTCATGGAGGGCTTTGATTATCAGGGCAGACTTTGAAGTTGCACTCTGTGTTCAGTGCATAACCAGCTCAGCTCCAGGGCAAAGGTCTCACCATGACCTGTTGCTAAATCCATGGCGCTGCCGCGTTTTTACAGCTGCTGGACGTTTCTATAACGTGGTGCTTTGTTCCCAAGTATGAGTTGAAGCAATGAATTATGGAGGTCAGTGATACAAACATAGCTGTGGTCAGGAGTGAGGCTAATAGCAAAGGACACTACGTACAGCCAGACATGAAAAGTACATTTTTGTAAGGCTGGCTGCTTGAATATCAGTAAAGCGAGGAGTTGCAGAATGCCAGGACAGTGTAACAGCTTTGGAGACAGATGGGCTCTTGTGAAACACTTCCCTTTTCCTGCGGGCTAAACCCCACTCTCACTTAGGCTGACTGGCATCCAGATGTTAAATTCATGTAAGGCAAGTGCTAAGTTTGGCAGAGTGTTTAAGATCAGCATAATCCAGATGCTAATTTTGGCAGGGGACTGAAAATTCAGCAAAAAATCTGGAATTCTTCCAACATCATATTTATGTTCAGATGGGAACACTAAATTTTGATTTTCCTCTGCAAACATGATTTTTAAGGGTCTGGAGTCATTACAATCACCTTAATGAAGCACACTTCAGGTATTCTGGAACATTTTTTCATCTCTGATGATAAGAAAATAGTATTTGGTAACCAACAGTACAAAATGTAGATGATTTGCTGGAGAATGAAAACAGGCATTTTCTTAAAGCAAAGAACATTAAATGGTGGCTTTGTACTGTACATGGGGTATGTTACCTCACAGGTAGCACTAAGGAAAAATGATTTTTCCAACTATTCATAGGAATGATTAGACAGTGAAGAGTAGCTTGAGGAATAACTTGTACAAAGAGATTGGGTCTTTGGCATTGTTAGTATTGCACTTATTAGGGCATGCAACAGCTTTGCCTCATTACAAGACATGATGCTGCCTGGAGATTTTGACAGCTAAAACAAATCTGAAATAATCTTGGCTAATTTCACACACTTAGGGTCATCTTTTTTTTTAATGGAATCTCCGGTTGTAGTGTATGTGCACTTATTTGTATGCATCAGCTGGACAATTAACAGTGCAAGTGCTTGTTTTGTGCAAAGAAGGTGTTTGTGAGTGCAAACATTCAATTATAGATTTTGAAGCTCAGAGGCCCGCTAGAACTTCTGGCTTAAAATTCTTACTGTTGACTTCTCCTGATGCTTGAGGGTGTAAAGCAGATCTTGCTTCTTTGCCCTTTAACAAAATTTTACTCCCAGTCTATAACTCCACATATTTTCAAAATAAAACGTTGTTTAATTAGGAAGGTTGGTGACTATAGACCTCGCTCATCCAAAACTGTCCATTGACAGTTTTGTCTTGGGTATACTGATGAAGAGAATGCTGAAGGCTGCCACACAATTTAAAATGTTTTCTGTGAAACACAATTTAAAGTCTTCAAAATGTATGTTTTAAATAACAGTCAAAAAAAGAAAAAAAACAACAAATATATCTTCATGTATATTATTATTCATGGTTATGTGATTTTATCCATCAATATGATGAATGACCATTGGTTCTGTATTAAATTCCTTACTTTAATCATGCCTATAAATATATTTAACTCTAACTTGAAAGCTTTGCAACACTTGCTGATCTTGGAAACCATCCTGTCACTCTCATGTCAGTGCGCAGCATGTTGACCCCAATCCTCAAAGTGCATCTCAGTTTTTTTTTTCCCAATGTATTAAACTTAAGCCATCCCTAAAATAAACCTTTGCTGGAAAGTCATAAAGTAAACTGCATCTGATTTCCTCCCTCCAGTGACTGATGAGTCGGCTTAGAGATTTCAGGCAGATGATGAGTTCCCTGTTGCACTGCTGTAACCTCTGCGGCTGTCAGGAGCAGACCACGGGCTGCCTGCGATTCCATCTAGAATGATCTGAAAAAGAATTTGTAAAAACTTTGCTTATTTGGGTGCATTCACATTTTGAAACAAAGTGGTGTTTCATAATACCAAAGTAGTAGGTTAAAGTTTGGTTATGATCAATTCCTGTTTTAGATAAATGCCTAACTAGATAACACAGGATTATACACGAACAAACATTTGAGCATGTGAAGAGTGAATGAGGTTTTGCTCTTCCATGTCAATAGAGAGAGATACAGTAAGCACTTCAGGATTCAGATACCTGATTAGGACAATGTTTCTGGGATACAGAATACATGAGGAACATTGCCTTAAGAATTTGGTGTGTTTTTAGCACAATGTATCATATTTAGGTGCTTGGTAAGTTGAGAAAAATCCAACATATCTTTATGTATCTCACTGGCTGTGATAAAGTACCAATGGGTGTTTGTGGTGGGTAATCAATAGCTCTGAATAACCTGAAAAAGGAGATGCAGTTGACTAATGTCAGACACATTGATCACTGTATCCTACTATCTACTTAAAAATTGCTGCTACCATCCGGCTACATCTAAATACTAAAAGTTTTTAATCTCTTACAGGTGAACTGAAAAGCCTTTCATTTGCCAAAACATTAAATCTGATTTTTTCTATTCTCTCTTCAGCAATGTCAGCTCTTTAAGCCAGTCGGGCTGTTGTGCTCTGCTTTAGATGTTGCTGACACTGACTGCAAAGAAAACAAAACCCAGAACTCCCTGTCTGGCAAAACAAATTATTTTCTGCCCTGCTTTTTTAATCACTATCAAGTCTGTGTGTGTTACATTTATGATTTGGAATTTTAACTTTAAAATTGGGTAACAATTTAAATAAAATAATAATTGAGAAGGAATGTCAAAATAAGATACCATTTTTTCAGGAGTTTCTGTGGTACTTCTGAACAGTAGTTTCTTTTAAGAACTTTTAAGATCTTTTATTTAAAACAAGCTCTCTCTCAGATTGTTCTTTTTAATCTCGGTAATCAGGTAGTCAGAGAGTCCTGAAGAGGCCAACATGGGCGTTACACATATAGGGACAGATATATAGTAAAGTTCCCATTGTTCTCTGTAAGGAGGCAAAGCTGCATTTGTATGATGTGATGCTGCCTGGCTCTCTACACCAGCAGTCTCAGCAACACTGGGAATTCTTGGTGCTTCCACACTGGACACGCTGTGTCTCCACCCACAGTACTTTTCCCTTAGATTTATGGATATGTGTGGATCAGCTGCTCGGGATGCCTTAGAATTCATTCTAGTAATGCACCAAAGGAAACTCCAACCCAGAAAAGAGAGGACATTTAAATCATGATCCTTATTCAGAATGAAGTTAGGAGCAGATTTAAGGGAGAGTTGATGGTGAGGTGTAATGTAAGACATAGTGCTTAATGCGTTTGCCTCGTCACAACTATCATCCTTGTCATTCTGCTATACCTTTCCCAGCCTCTCTGTTCTCCCTCAAGGATACAAATCCTCATGAATGAATTTCTGCAAGAACAGAGGAAAGGGAATGTGATAGAAATCATAGCAGTTATCCTGTGTATAGCCCCGTGCTTTGCTACTCCTGATATTTTATGCTGACTTCTGACACAAAGCCTATATGGCTCTCACAGAGTAACAGTTCTTTATAAATAAGGAGATTACGGCACTGCAAGGACCTTATATGATGAGCATCATGGAAACAGCATCCATTTCTAAATGTAAACAAGATGCATTATTTTGGAGAAAGAACAGAATCTCTTTAATGGCTATGAAGGAACCATGCTAAAAATCTCTTAGGAGTGTCAGAAGCAAAAGATAACATTTTCAAACACATCTTAGTGACTTAGGAGCCTAAGTACCAAATTCAGATCCCTACTAGCAATGGCAAGCGTGGCTGCTGTGATTTTTTTTTTTAAACTGTTATGAAAAATTGGCCTAGCATAATCTGAGGAACTACGTTAGTTAAGATTCACAAGAAGAAAATTGTTTATTAAGAAAGGGAGCCCTGTCATTGTTTCCTTGAGACAAAATGGGTAGAATGGAATGAAGTAAAATGCAGGAATATGCTCTAACTGTATCTCTTATAATGAAATAGTCATTGAGAACTTTTCCTTTTAGTTTTTGTAGTTTATAGTAGTATACAGCATATAAACTACTATACATTAATAATAGTTTAAAGGAGAGGAAACCTCCTGAACCCAGTGGAAGAGTGAATCAGTAAATATAAGAACGCCTATTTATATACCTCCTGTAATGAAAATACAGAGGCTTTTGAACAGCATCTATTAAATGTTCTTAAATATGCAGGATCAGATCTCTTTCATCCAAGTGTGTGTGTGTCTGCTGGTATTTAAGATTGACCTCACTCTGTCCAAACCCATGAGATTTCTCTGAATGTTTTGGGCATGGGAGTTTCATGAACAGGCACACTGTGAGATGTGAATGTCTATATGCAAAGAGGCACATGGACGCCCATGAATAATATGCAAAATTAGACCTGCAAGGGTCTGAGAATGACAGAAGAATCAAGCAGGATCAAGCAGGAAATGCTAGAGATCATCCAAAAAGCACTTGAAGGGGAATGTTAAAACTGAATAATAGATCATATAGATAGAATGATAGTAACTATTTGGACATAAATGAAAGAGAGAAGCTTAAACTAATGGGTCAGGAAAAAACAGCACAACATGCGTATCTCCGAATCTGTTTGCTGGCTGCCATCTGAATATCTGTATCAGAAGTCTCACAAATCAAAATAAATATTTAACTTGTAAATACATGCTCCTATACTGCTCTGTCATTCCCTTTCACCTCATTTTTTCTCTGAAAGAACAAAGAGTTCTTATCATCAGTAATTTTGGAAGGGAGTCAAGCACCATCCAGAGTTTTCAAGTTACTAGAAACTCTCTGTAAAGTCAATAGAAACTATTTAGGAATTATGGAGTGAATGTTTGACTATCTGGGAGTAATTCTGGGAGTTTTCACAGCTAGCAATTTTCCCATTTGTTAAAAAATAGAAGTATTTGTAAGAAAATGTTGTATAAAAGCATCATGCTTTGTTTAGAGAATGGAATGCTACTGAAATGGAGTTAAGCAACTGATCATGGGAACAAGCACTGTAAACTAATATTTTTGCCAAAAGGAGAAAAAAAGGCTTGCTTGTTTTCTTAAGTAAACAGTCACTCATAGCTGTTACTTGCACAGGGTTTGATTCTTGTTGAACAGCTGCTGAAGCGTTCAGAATATAAAGACAGTTTGCTGCTCTGCTGAAGAGGGAAATTTATGCAGCAAGCATCAAGTGCTGCCTTAGTTTCTCTGTGAGGAAGGAAAATGTAATTGGCAGCTCCTTCTCACTAAGTTATTGTACAAGTGGGTGAATTCACCCTGAAGCTTGTCATGCCTTCTGCTAAGAAAATAGAAGAATTTTTAACTTTAATTGTCAGGATATCTGGCTTTCTGCAAATCAGACCGTAGCTTTGATGTAGGCTGTACTAACAACTTACAGAGCAGGATTAAGTTAGGACCGTGTCCGCTTTAGTTGCTTTCTTTACTTTGAGAAACGTCTCTTAAAGTTACCTTGAAGTAAGCTACCAAAAATGTGGCATGTAAATTTTGCCTCATAAATTTCCTAGTGAAGTAGTTGTCACAGCTAAACAGCAATCAAGACTAATCACTGAATGATAAATATGGTCTTTTTGTAAGCACATTATGCAGGAAGGCATTAATAACTACCTGAGCTGATGTGAGTGGGCTCAACTTTCTTTTATTCAGGTAGTAATTGCTATCTCAGCAACTCCAGTCATTTCTGCTAATTGTACCGAAGAAGCCTTTAGGTTTAGCTTGGTAATAGTAAAATTTCTTAACTCTCATTCAGTCTTTTTTCAAGAGCATTACAGTGCTATAGAGTTGATACTTGACCTAACAGAACTTTGCACTGTTAGCAATGGTCAACTAAAATGCTAAAAGGAATTATCTTCATCTACGTTGAACAGATAATCTATGACAGAATCTTTGATTAAAGTTATAATAAGCATGAAAAAAGTTAAAATTTTCACTCCTTAAAAGAAAAAAATAAAATAGCCACACCATTTCCAAGAGGATTCCTGCTTACCAGATCCACTGCTACTTGCTTGAGTTATATTTTCATCTTCTTCATCATCACTATCACAGTTTAATGGATGAAAAGTTATTTCTGATTCTGTGTCTATCTGATTAGCTTCTGATTCTTGCTCACTGCAGGTTCGCAGTGCCACAAGGCGGTGATGTATTGCTGCATACAGGTATCCAGCATCTTTTGAGCTTGCCTGCACAAAGTAAAATGAATAGAGTCAAAATTAATCAAAATTAAACAAAACAATTTTGCAGTTGATCAGAGAAAACCTGGCTCTAAAGTTTTAAAAAGAAATGAAAGAGCTCCAAATATTTTGCACTTTTTAATCAGTGATGCATTATGATATTCACTATATCCATTATATTACATTATATTACATTATATTTACTAGATTAGATTAGATTCACATTTAACATTTAGTTTCAGAAAATAAATTTGAATTAAAAAATATCAGGTTTCTTTAAGTGGTTTGAGTTTTACAATATACTAACATGTAATTCTAACATTTAAATAACATTTCTCCTGGAGAATGGCTCAGCTTGTACTAAGAGATATTTCAGATAATTTCTGAATATGGTTCTAGAAGTAATAAAGCACTGAAATGCTAATGTATGTATTTGCATTTCTGCTTAGAGAGTAAGTAAGAATTAAAACTTATGATGCCATGACCTCTGCTGTGACTGCTGATTGCAAACTGGGTTTCTTCAAGAAGGGTACTGAGAACACAATGGGGCAACATTTTGCCTAACATAAAACCCTAGGACAGCCATGTCCTGAGTAATTTGTTCAGTACTGGTAATAACATCTCAAGGATGTAAGAGAATTAAAGAAGGACTGGAGAAGAGCACCTTAAATGATCAAGAGGAAGGAGCAGCTCCTTATGAAGAGACTCTAAAAAGGTTGAGACTCTTCAGTCTGAAAAGAAGGCCGAGAAATGTGCAACTAATGTTTACAAATTCATAAAAATGGTGGATAAACTGAACACGGAATAGTTGTTCATCAAACCACACAATATAAGGACACTTTGTGAAAGCTCTAGGCGGTCAGTATAAAACATAAAAGCACTTCTGTATACAGTGAATAATGAACATCTGAAGCTTAAGGAATTCAATTAGATCAGCCCTCTGATCCATCTCACAGAAAAATTCCAGTGTCAACAAAATGTCTCAATCATCCACATAACAAAGTTAAATCTGTTGGTCCTCTGGAAGAGTGGGCTCCATTGACTACTAAACCAAGGATGGACCAAGGATGGACCAAGGTCCATGCAGGGGGTTGTCTAGGGCGAGGCAGCCAAGCCCATGCCTCAAGACTGCCTCCACCAAAAGAAAAGAAGGGCAGCTGTTGTGGGTAACTTCCTTGGGAGGGGAGCAGAGACCTGCTGGTGAAGCCGCACCTCAGACAGTGTGTTCATTTTGGGGCCCCTCACTACAAGAAGGACATGGAGGTGCTGGAGCACGTTCAGAGAAGGACAACGAAGCTGGTGAAGGGGCTGGAGCACAGAGCTTAGGAGGAGCATCTGAGAGTGTTGGGGTTATTTAGCCTGGAGAAGAGGAGACTCAGGGGAGACCTTACCGCTCTCTGCAACTACCTGAAAGGAGGTTGTAGTGGAGTGGGGGTCGATCTCTTCTCCAGAATAACTACAAGAGGAAATGGCCTCAATTTGCACCAAGGGAGGTTCAGTTTCAGTATTATGAAACATTTCTTCACAGAAAGAGTGGTGAAGCATTGGAACAGGCTGTCCAGGGAAGTGGGCACTGTCCCTGACAGTGTTCAAGAAACATGTAGATGAGACACTTAAGGACATGTTTAGGTTTAGCAGACATGGCATTGAAGGTCTTACGGTTGGACTTGTTCTTGAAGGTCTTTTCCAACCATAATGATTCTACAATTCTAGACCTGCCAAACGTACATGCCATGGCTGTGGTGATGCCTGCTGGTTGACCATGTTGCGTTCCATGCACACGAGTCCCAGTGTTTGTAGGGCTGGGTACCATCTGCAGCAACAGATCCCAGAAGCTCTGGTGATGATTACAGAAGTAGCTTCCTGTAGCCTTCCTGCACCACACTCATATAGCTGCCAGATATCTTGGTTTCCCACTATATGTGCTTTTTTACTTTCCAGAAGTGCCAGGACAGAATTTGAGGAATATTTGTATCTCTGTATGACAAAGCAATTTCTAATGCTCAGTTGCAGACCAGCTGCATAGCCCAGGCATGATGCCTTTTTGGAAGTGACAGATTTATAGTGCTTACATGGTGCATGTGAAAGAAGTCCAACGTTTCCCCTAAGCGGTAATTTACCAATCTTGCCCAGTAGGTTGAGACCTTCCTAGATAGGACTTGGTGAGGAAACTCCAGACATCCTTAAACTCAAGTTGATGTTCTCACTTCCCAACCTAGGAACTCAGTCCTGTATGTGCTATTCATTTGAGAATAAGCCCACCACCTTTACATTCTCAGCCAATAGGCCTTTGGATAAAACGGGGATTCCCAGAAGCTTTGTCTTATACAAATTCATGCCACTCTGAAGTGAAATACAGGGGTCTTAGTTTGGATGGGTTATTATAAGCATTTTGTCCAGAACTACAGCAGAAAGCTGCTGCTTTACACAGAAGTAACTTAACATATGTAACTTACTCTTTAGAAATTCTTCATGCATTGTTTCTGTAAGAGGCAAAGTCCAGAGCACTAACTGCTGCATATGGCCCTGGAATGATTTGCATTCTAACTTGTGGTATGTGAACCACGCTGGAAACGCTGTCCTAAGGCTGTATCAGGTGTTCACACCTTCTTCCGAAATACCAGGGGATATCACTGCTAAGTCTTTTCATAATAAAAGCCATGTAAATGTTTTAAACCCTAAGCAGAGCCTATTAGAAAATAAAAGACAATTTACTAGAACCAAAATCTCAGCAAGTCTCCAGAATTCAAGGAAATGCGGAGATTTGAGACAGAGAGTTATCTCTTGCTTACCTGTATTAGAAATACTTGAATAGAGTGATCTTCTTGGTCTGTTGCAGTGAAGCACAGACTCTTCCTATTTGCTCTTTTTATCACCATTTGATCCCAGAGTCTGGTGTTGAGAATCAGTCTCAAATTGCCTTGATTTCGCATAACTGAAATAAGAAAGTTCATGTAATAGATAATTGTAACCACCTTCAGTTGTATTCCAGTAGTTTTCTGCAATACTTGTATACAACTAATACTTTCATTAATTATTCTTTTCAAGTTGGCCTAAAACCTGACATTTTTAAATGATTTGTTTAATATCACAATATTTTAGTTTCTTTCAATAGATTTGGCATATTAAATGAAAAATGCACCATAGCTGTACAGTGCAAACCAAAAAATGGGTGTGCATTAAAAACAACATTCCAGAAGTGACTTGCAAGTCAGTGGTACTGGAATAGCAGAATCAACAAAAAGCAAACTGTCAGACTGGTGACTGAGGTACTTTGCAGCAGAAACACTCAGAGCCTAAACACATTAACAAGTGCACAGACTGAGTTAAAAATGCTCATCCAAGGGGGCACCCCAGTTTGCCAGGCAGGTCAAGTTACCAAAGAACATTAAAAAGACTTTCAGCAACCTGATTAAAATAAAAATCTAAGATTATTTGTGATTAATTAAATCTGGCCAGCAACAATGCAAGTTATATAGTGTTTTACATATGTGTTATTTAGTTATTTCATTCTTACTTAGCCTTGATTGCAACATTCCATGTTTATCGCTAGAAGTGTCATTAAGCCTCAGAGATCCTCTGCCTCTTTCAATCCAGGTTAAAGAAAACTTGTTAAATACAAAGAGCTTGCAGTTGATCTAAAAGAGAAATCCATGATGAATAATGTCAATTTTATTGTTTTAAAACTTTATTTATATTTTAAGCTTTTGATAAGCTTTAGATACATATCTGTACATGTATACACACACACACATCTGTAGATACAACAAAATTACACACAACGGTCAGTTACTCAAAATGAAATGACTCCAGATCTGTGCTAAACTTTCTGTTAATTAAGTAATGGAAAATATCCAGCATGAATCTTTTTTTCTTCATTAATTCTTCATTTGAAATATCCACTGACAAAGGTTTACTTATTGCAAGGTGAACTATTACCTTATTCATTAAAAGCTTTATGCAGCACAACATACCAGTACTATCAGAGAGTAAATCTTCCATATTCTGACAAGATAGAAGATTTAAACAATGCAGAAATTAGCTAATATTCAATTTTAATTTTTCTTAATCATACATGATGGCTATTTACTAAAAAAAAAAAGCATCAAAATGAAAAATAGCAAGACATATCCTGCTGGGCCAGAAAGATAATTTGTGTTTTAGATGAATTATAAAACCAATTACTTGGATAGTACTTTTTTTTTTTTTCTCAGAAATGTTTTGTTTTGAAAAACCTTAAATCACTTACAGTTTTGAAGTTTTAGTTAGTAATGACGGGTTTAGGAAGCTACTGTAAGAATACTTACAAAGAAAAAAACACAGAATGAGGTTTTGAAGCATAATCACTTACTGATAGGGACTAGAGGATGCACAGATATAAGATGAAAAAAGAAATATCAGCCTACAAAAAGTAGTTAGCAGAGACATATTTAAAAAAGCAAAAATTAACATATTAACCAAAGTGATGTTTAAGTCACTGTTATCTCTAATATACCTAGATGTTCTTTTGAACAACAAGAATACTGCTTACCATAAAGGCTTTATGAAATACACACCTGTAATACCTTGTGTTCTGCTTCTTCTCCAGTTATAATTTCAACTTTATCTAACAGAATTTTCTCCACTGGCTTGGAAATACAAGCAGCTGCTGATTCAGTTAGTGTTGCATTTTTTATGAAAGCTGTTTCTGAAAAATATTAAAAAGAAAAGTTATCTCCCCCCTTATTCGTAGAGGGAATATTTTTCAGACAACAAAAATAGCCCATTTCATAGCGTGGGACTTCCATACTCCTTGTGGTGCTTGATATCAGTTAGTGCTTTTAACAGCTTTGGGGACAAAACTGGTAAATAGAGGAGGAAAAGTAAAAGGCTCAAATATTGCACAATGTCATACCTGTTTAGACCCGCTCTGAACTGAACGGGGCTTTCTGCAGATGCAGAGGTTTGCCCCAAGGAACAACTTATATCAACAAGCCCTAAATAGTTAGAAGATGAGTTTCCAAATGAAAATGGTCTGTTATATTGCTCTGCAGATTCATAAATACTGAAAGTCATATGCGCCAATAATCAGAACAGCAGTACAGGTATAATAAAGACTTGACAGAAAGGAACATGCATTACAAGTTGTAGGTTTGCATAATTTAGTCTTCTATGAGTTTTTGTTTTTTGATTTGTAAGAATTTTCATAAAAAGTAAGAGGCTCCAATGCATCTGTGGAAGAGAGCGCTGCAAAATTTCAGGATAGCACTCAACATAGCAGTATATTTAGGATTCCCCTACAGTCTAGGTTACACCAGAAATTAAAGCTTGCACCAAAGTCACAAACTACCCTGAAATCTTTACAGAAGTTTCAGTCCTGCAGATTTGTACCCCATTAGGCTATCAGTGCTGCAATAGTATTTATATGAATGGTCACAATATACCAACAGCAGGCAGCTTAAAATTGTAGCTCAACAACACAGTCCAAAATGTCACAAATACACAGTCACAAAATTCCCTGTGTATTTTCCAAAAGCATGCACATTTGTAAAACTCTTATCTTTTCCTGAATAGCCATCATTCTTTAGGAAGTTAGTCACAGCTGCTTTTGAACATGAATTTCTGGCACATACTGCAGTGGGGGTATTGTAACTTGACAGCCTGAGACAACTTGGGAATTGAGGAGTGTTACTGAGCACCACTCACCTGACATCCTCTTAGAACACAGTGAAATACTAGAGCTAACTAAGCTTACTTGTTAAACATGCTTACTTGTTTGTGGATGAGCACGAAAATATTCTGTGTACATGGATGTTACTTCTTTGCATGAATCAGCTCCTTTATACTTCTCAGGATGTTTTTCAGGACTCTAGAAAAATATGGGGAAATAAGAATTCCTATTCAAATAATTTATTCAAATTTTATTTTAATAAAATTTTATTCAAATAAAATGTTTTTGTTACTTCAATATCAAGCAGAAAGTCAGATCATTTAATTTATACTATGTGAAGATTAGGAATTGTGATATATTAAGAGTGAAAATGACAAATTGTACAATTTCAGTCTCTAATGGAGGCAATTTTATTGCTATCAAATCAGTACTTAATTCTTTTGCCAAGAATGGCTTCTTTGTAAGGATTCTGGAGTATGATTTAAACCCAAAAAAGGACTTATACGTTTAAGTATCAGCTAATTATCAATATAAGCACTTATGCCCCAAAAGAATAGTTTAAAAATTCCGAGGTGCATTGAACCTAACCATGGAGGAATTAAAAAGCCTTTTAGTTTTTGCAATGGAAGTTTTCTAGGCACTTCTAGTAAGTGCTTCCAACTACTGACAATGCTCAGTGGCTATGCTCCTAGCTTACACCTAATTCCTGGACATAAGTCATAACCCGGGGCTACATTTCACAAGCTTTTGCACTGGCAAAAAACATATTGTTTTCCTTCTACTTCTATGAGAAACTGATTTTCAATACATTTTAAGTGGTACAGTGCTCAGTTTGGGAAGTAATTCTTTTGTCTTAAGATTCCTTCAGGACTTGATCCATGAAGCTGTTTCTCCGAACACACAATGTAACTTATGGTGGACAATATCTAAGATGGAGGTCCCAATTTCCTCCTCAGCCCGGAGAATTCACACTCATTTTTCCCATCGCTTAACAGCTATAGTGGAAACTAGGAGAGTGATGGGAACTGCATTCTTTTCTCTCCTGTTGTGGCTGTTCCGCTTTGCATGGAAAGGCATGCCTACTCCTCTAACATCAAATATTTAGGTATTTCCTACATATCATGCCAGACATTTCCTATATATCAGACATCGGAATTATATCTACTCACATCGTAAAAAGAACACAAGAAGATAGGAAAAATCAGTATCTGAGAAATTTTGTATTCATAAATAGATTAATCTTGATAACAGTTGCCAGCATTTACATCTCTTACCAAAACTCTCTCCATCATGTTTTCTCCAAACACAAAATCAGAATTGCTGTTGTTTACTATGCTTTTGTCTTCATCTTGCTGACTTCTATGGGAACAAAATAAGAAAAGCATGTGATGTAGAACTTTGTAAAGAATATATAACTAAGTTCAGGCATTTATTTTACCCCACCGTACATTGAAGATGAACAAGCAAAAACCTAGGAACCAGACAAAGTCTTTAAGAGAATCTGAGACTATTTTCTACCTAACCATTCACAAAAGAATGAAGGATGCTGCACTGTGTTACAAGAAGATTCCCAAGAATGTTCCTTAAAAGCAAAGGACTGCCAAAATGTAAATGAATTATAGCAATGGCTATCCATCAGGCCCTGAAGAAGACTGGGGTTGAATCCCTTGCAGTTAACACATTATCTACCACCTTTCTGAGTGTGAGGGGAACAAGGGCCACATAACAAGTTTGTTATCAGTAGCCTCAGCAGTTTGAAATGTCATTCTTCGATCACTAACTGATCTCATGCTCACAACTTCCAGGTAAAAATCTCTAATCAAGCACCAACAAGCAACAACACACACACATGAGCCAGCTGACACTAAACTGGTTAGTCACAGTGACTGGTTAGTCACAGTGACTGACTAACCATGACTGGTTAGTCACAGTAGCATCCTATGCAGCCAGGCTCTAGAGAGAGTTAATGACTTCTGCATACTTTTTTCCACTTTTGCATCAGTCTGAGCTTTTTCACGGCTCCCTGTCCAGACAAGTCAGCTTTCTCATGCAGAAATGCTAAAAGCCATGGTGGTCAACCCATGTCTGCACAAAGATATGACCCCATCACACTGTATTAGTTGTTTACTCCAGAAATGTTGACATGTAGACAGAAGTAGGGCACTGTAACCACCACACAGTACTGTATGGCTCCCTTCATGCCACCTGTGTCCAACACACAGTTTGGTAATTCCTGTGTTTCTCTATAGCCAAAGTATTTTTGCGGTGGTGCAGCTATTTAATCAAGAGAGATTAATGAGACAGAAACATGACAACCATTCAAACCCAAGCAGTATTTTTTGCTGGCAAGGCTGCATGAGATGACAAACTGAAGTAGTTTCTTGCTTGGGTTTGCTACTGAAAGCCAAGCTGTCCCACAGAGATTATGTGTGTGTCCCACACACAAATACTAGGAAGCACAGTGTGGAATAAACAGCACGAACTTAGCAGCAGGTTAGACATATAGAGAGAATGGGCAGGCCTCAGGCCAAGTGACAAAGTAAGTGGTGTAGGAAGACATTAAAAACCTTACCGTGTTGTTTTAGGGCTGGAAAGATTCATGGCAAGAGATGAACTTGCTTCTGTCTTCAAAATTACTGAATTCTCAGCTGAGGAATAAGAGCTGTTTTCAGATAACTAGGAATATAAGCAGATGAATTAATTAAATCAAACGTATTGTCTGTAATAAACAGGTCTGTTTGTTAGAAATCCAAAGTCACTGAAGTGTATTTCTGTGGAAGTTGGTGGAGCTTCCCACTGTGTACTAAGCGAGTGCCATAAACAGTATCCTTTAAGTCAACACATCGAAATGTTACTTTCTGAAAAAGCAAAGTCAAAAAAGACCCCCAAACCTGATTTGCTCACAAAACATCAATGTCTGAAAGTTAAGATAGGCTGCAAGGGCAAGATTTTCAAGCACAGTTGGCAGTGGTATAACAGTTCCCTCATTCATTGTTTCTCATTTCATTCATTCCCCAATTCTTTGTTTCTTCTGAAACTCATATAGGAAATTCCTTTGAAGTCCTGCAGCAAAATAATTGCTTTAAAACAGTGTTGTTTTTAATTTGATTGAGCTCCAAACATCATATTAGTCATTAAAATCACTTTTCTTTTTACCTGAATATGTGCTCCTTTCATAGTCACTAGAGATGCCATGGCATTTTCAGGACATAAGGGGGCTTGTGGTGGCTGCAAAATCGCAGGTCTAATGACATTCCGCAATTGACTTGGTGACAAGCATCCTTGCAAACAAAAATAAAATATTTAAACAAAGACTTTTTCCTCACATCTAATTCATACTTATGTGCCTTGCCCCTTTAACTAAAAGTTGCAGAGCACGCTTAAATAACAGTTGTTGCCATTGTTTACTTACAACCTGTTCTGAAAAATGCTAATCCCTTCTAAAATTCACAATTTTGCATTGAAACCAACCCATAGTATCCCAATAAAATAGACGGGTAATACAAATACATACATATACATATACTTACATATATATACATTAGATTTACATAAACACACGTGTGTGTGTGTGCATATGTGTATACACATATGTGTGTGTGCATGTATAACAAACTAGCAAGGCTTTGTGATAGATCTGGTGGCTGATATTTCAAATTCAATCCTGAACCTGCAGATGCCAAGAGGACTCCTCATTGCCTTCTCTGGAAGCAGAGTTTTAACCTCTTTCAGGCATGTATCACAAATGTAGAAGTTGACTTTTCAAACTTATCATCGCTATACTCAGAAATTAATATAACCATAAACAGTCAGAGCAGAGGCTCAGAACAGAGCTTACAGGATACTTATGTCCTCAGATAAATAACTTATGAACCTCCTAAAGTATTCACTGAGCATGGAGGAGGATTCTCTGTTTTTATCTGTTCTTTATCTGCTAAGAAGGTCTTTGTGGAAGAAGAGTCAATAAAATGTTACAATGACAAGTTACCTTCTTTTGTACTTTTGATGTCAGTGTTTCTTCGAAGAAGAGCTGAGGTCATGAATATGTTATTCTTCTTTACTAAAGAATGAGGAATATAAACTTTAACAATAAGTAGTAATAAATTATCTGTCTATATGTCTATAACCGGTTGCCATTTTGGTAGTATTTCAGCAATATCCCACAATTCATCCAAAGAACATCTCTAAGATCTTGTCCTAACTTTACAGTTGGAAAGATTTAGGCATGAAAAGCACCGCAGCTGTTTTAGCTATGTCAGAAAAATTATTTTTTGGATATTAACAGATGCTTTAATCTCACAAAATCCCACTTGAGTCACTGGTGCTGCTAGTTTGCGAAAGTCATGAGAATGGAAATGTTATCTGATCCAGTCTCGTGTTATTTTTTTAGGATCAGTAAATTAAGCTACCCTGACCTAACATATGATTGTCTATGTAAATATTTATTGTTGTTGTTTTCTTCTTTTAATTACCTGTCTGGGAGGGGGGAAAGGTAGGCAGGATGGTAAAGGAAGACGATCTTCCTCTTTTCTGAGAGAGTGTTGTATCTGAAAGGATAAAGAGAATGAAATTATCCTTTTTCATAGCAAAAAAATAGTAATTTTTTACATTAGCCAATTTGATGTCATGCCTTCCTTGGGAGCATGACTCCCAAAAATCAGCTTATTTCCTGCAACCTACTAGCTTTCCAAGGAAGACTTTCAGGTTATGCCTCTAGTGCTGAATCAGAGGCGTCTCAGGCCACGTAGCACAGTCTGCCTTATCCACACTGCTTCCTGCTAGTCAACGCTACAGCAGTTCTGTCTTGAAAATGGTCACTGGAGAGGTTCAAAACTGAGCCAGGGAATGAGCTGACAGCTCAGCACTGTGGATAATCCAGAGGCTTAGCACCCAAGCTTGCCCCTGAACTGTGCTTTATTTTTTGGTATAGGCATGCTCCCCATCCTGCACCTATGGTTTTTATACATGACCTCAGTGTAATATTCAGAGCAAGCTAAACTTAGACTGTCTTAAATCCTTTTAGCTTAGGTGTGCCATAGGACTGGATAAAGCAAAACACAGTATACATATATTAAGGCCTAAACTGTGAAATAACTTTTTGGTCCCATCATCACATTAAATAAATACTATAACCCCCTGATCATTCCTACTGTCTTCAATGACTTGTGCATATTTTCCCCAAATAGCATGGAAGGAATACACTGCCTTTAAAGGGATTTCCAGGTCAGCTGGTAGATGGATGGAAGTGGAAGCCTTTCTAAAAACTGCTTTACATTTCCATAGATTCCCCAAGAAGCAATGTTCTCTTTCACAAACAGGAAAATCTCATTCCTTCCCACCCCCCCATCCTCCCCTGTCTGAGGTCCAGCAATCCATAAGGAATATATGCAGGTACATTTCTAAATGGATCCAAAAATACCATCTCTTCTTTACCAGATGAGATTACAGAACTGCAATAAGCAGAAAGGCAAGTGGAGCTGAACAGCAGACCTGTTTTGGACTGTGAGTCAGACTTCTGAAAAGTAAAAGATGATGATCTCGCCCGTTTTCTGGAGCAACTGATAAGATCTAAAAAAAAGTAAATATTGTTCTGTAGAAACAGTAGGTAGCAGATTTCAGTACAATGGTATGACACAGATTTAAAACTTGAAGATGATAAATTAAAAGCACAATTGATAATA